CTGGGCCCATGTCTCCAGCCTGTCGAGGTCCCTCTGGATGGCATCCCTACCCTCCAGTGTGTCAGCCACCCCACACAGCTTGGTGTTGTCTGCAGACTTGCTGAGGGTGCACTCAGTGCCACTGTCCATGTCGCTGATGAAGATGTTTTAATGAGACTGGTCCCAGTACTGATCCTATTGGGTCCCATGGACTTGTACACTTTCAGGTTCTTCAAATGGTCACGAACCTGATCTTTGGTTACAATGGGCAGTTCTTTCATCCAACCCCTGCCATTGTCTTCTGCGACTTTGGAAGTGTGGCTGGAGCCCTTGCCAGTGAAGACAGAGGAAAAGAAGTCCTTAAGTACCTTGGCCTTCTCCACATCACTTGTCACCAGTTCACCTGTTTCCTTTCTGAGGGGGCCCAGACCCTCACTGTTCTTTTTCTTACAATTAATACACCTAAAGAAACTTTTGCTGTTTCCCTTGATCTCCCTGGCTAGATTTAATTCTAACTGAGCTTTCGCTTTTCTAACCTGGTGTCTTGCTGCTCGGGCAGCTTCCTTACATGCCCCCACTCTAGCCATCCTGTCTTCCACTCCTTGTAAAGTTTCTTTTGGTGTGACAGTGTGTCCAGTAGCTCCTTGCTCATCCAGGCAGATCTTCTAGCATTCTTTCCTGCCTTCCTCTTTGTCGGTATACTTTGCTCCTGGACACAGGGAAGGAGGAAGGGTTTGTTATGGCTGGTCCCAGCCCCACTCGTCCTTGCCCTGCTGAGAAGATCCTGGCTCTTAACAGCCAGTTGTAGGCACTGGAGGCTGCTGTTAGGTGTTGCCACGTCCCCACCTCATTCAGCCTGAACCAGCCCTGGTGCTCCAGCCTCTCTGCCCAGGACAAACGCACTAGCACCAACCATTTTGGTGGTCCCGTGCTGAACTCACTCCAGTTCACTGTCTTTCTTGCGCATGGAGGCCCCAAACTGGATGCAACATTCTAAATATAGTTTAATATGCTATATGTTTACCATGCCAGTAGCACTCTCTGTTGTGAGTGGTGTTGACAGGACTATAATTGCTTAACTTTACCTATTGGAGGGGGAAAATAGGTTCCGAAACTTGCATAATTTCATTACATTTCTTTTTAAATACAGCTTGTAATCTATTTCAGAATGCATGAAAACCTAATAAGGTACTCAATCTTTTCAGTCATTCAGTGTAGGTTTCATATGGAATTTGTTATTTTAGAGCTTTAGCGTATCAGAATTTCATATCAGGAAGCTGTTATCAATTACCTGGGAAAATGGGTCTTTTTTTAGTTTGAGAATAACATCAGTCATTGCTTCTTGTTTTATTTTAAAACAGAGATGAATAATCTGTAAAGATTAAGGCCTGCTTTTCTGCATTTTTTTTTTTATGTCCTACTGGACTTCCACAGCTGGTTCTGTGAAGTTAGCAGGAACTTACTGAGATGTCATTTTTTGTCTCTTTAGTCAGAAATACATATGCAGTATTCCTGTGCTGTAAAGGAAAAGCCCAATCCGAGAATTTAACAAAGCTTTCAGGAATACTAAGAGGAAAATAAATTAATATTTTTCTCCAGGTTGTAAGCTGGAATTTAGTCTCTCATGTACTTATCAATGCAGTTTCAGGTATCTTCCACAAATTAAAATTTATCCTTCAACAATGGAAATATTTTTTGACTTTGAAGTGGATAGTTTCTGAGTTTTGGGGCTATTAGTTGAGGCTATGGTTACAGCTGGAATTTCTTATTTGGCATCATCAGCTCTCCCAAAAAGAGCAAAATGAGTAATACTTGCATTAAATCTGGAGATTATGAATGTGGTGGTTGTTTCAAAGCCAGGTGCATTTTTAAAAAGAAAACACAATCCAAATCTATAATTTGCAGTAACAAGAGATGGTATTTGCACTGTTATGCTGTATTTTTATTTAGAGATGGAAAAGAATAACTTAGAAATCACAGAAACATTCAGGTTGGAAAAGACCCTTTGGATCATCAAGTCCAACCTGTAACCCTACTCTACAGAGTCCACACCTAAACCATATCTCCCAACACTACATCTAACTGACCTTTAAACACCTCCAGGGAAGGTGACTCAGCCACCTCCCTGGGCAGCCCATTGCAATGTCTGACTACTCTTTCTGTGAAAAAAATTTTCTAACATTGAGCCTAAATCTCCCCTGTTGCAGCTTGTGGCCATTTCCTCTAGTTCTACTACCAACTACCAGTGAGAAGAGACCAGCACCAACCTCTCTACAATGTCCTTTCAGGTAGTTGTAGACAGCAATGAGGTCTCCCCTCAGCCTCCTCTTCTTCAAACTGAACAGCCCCAGCTCCCTCATAAGATTTATTTTCTAGGCCCTTCACCAGCTTTGTTGCCCTCCTCTGTGCTCCCTCTATCAGCTCAACATCCATCTTGTATTGAGGGGCCCAAAACTGAACACAATCCTCAAGGTGAGGCCTCACCAGTGCCGAGTACAGGGAGACAATCACCTCCCTACTCCTGCTGGTCACACTGTTTCTAATACAAGCCAGGATGTCACTGGCCTTCTTGGCCACCTGGGCACACTGCTGGCTCCTGTGCAGCTGCTTGTTAATTGGGACCCTCATGTCCCTTTCTGCCAGGCAGCTCTCCAGCCACACGTCCCCAAGCCTGTAGCGCTGCAGGGGGTTGTTGTGGCCCAAGTGCAATTCCTGGCACTTGGCCATGTTGAAGCTCATCCCATTAACCTTGGGCCATCGATCCAGTCTATCCAAGTCCCTCTGTAGAACCTCCCTATCCTTGTGCAGATCAGCAGTCCCACCCAACTTGGTGTCATCTGTGAACTTACTGATGATCCCTTCAGTGTCCTTATCAAGGTCATCAATAAAGATGTTGAACAGAAGTGATCCCAACCCTGAGCCCTGCGAACACCACTTGTGACCGGCCGCCAGCTGGATTTAACTCCATTGACAACCACTCTTTGGGCCCGTCTGTCCAAGCAGGGCTTTATCCAGCAGATCGTATGCTCATCCAGGCCATGAGCGGCCGGTTTTTGTATCAGTATTCTATGTGGAACAGTGCTGAATGCTTTTCAAAAGTCTAGATAGACAATATCCACTTCACAGTTACTTCACAGTAATCACTTAGCTTAGATAAAACTAGCCAGAAAATTTTTTAGTTCTGTAGGGAGACCTGTATTATTTTAGCCCTTCTGTAAGTCTGTATAATGCCCATACAGAAACTAGAAAAGAAAAAATCCTGGCTTTGTGTATTGTAATAGCTGGACTTTCTGTATTCTGAGGAGAATCCCACATGGCTTAAAGTTGTGGAGTAGTCAGGAAGGCTGGATAAACCTGTGTATAAGTTTAAAAACTTCACTGATCCTGGAATGATGTGATTGTGATTGAAACTGCATATCTGTCTACTTCTAAAATATGCCTCTTGTACCATCTACTCCCTAAGGAATTACGAAATCTGATATGTGTTGATTCACTTAAATTCTCTTCTTTAGCCAGACCTTCTTACAGTGGCAATCTGTGACCAACCCCAGTGGTAGAGTCTTCCACTAGTGGATACTGTAAACATTCTTGCTTAGGAAAAAAAAAAAAGAAGGCATTTTTGTGTATATTTTACTATTGTTGTTATAATAGTTTCCATATTTGATATTTTCTTTTAAATACTAACAAACAAATCAACTTTTTGCATCATCAACTTACATTATCAAGCCTTCCATATAAGTAAAATTGTGCATTGCCTGAAAAGTCATCATTTTTTTCCAGTGACACTGTGGAACACATTATATCTTTCATTAGGAGTCTGTGAAATAATTCTATGCAAAGTTGTAGCCAATTGCAAAGTTATGTGAGTTTTTTGGTTTCAGTATTTCAGATAGCCCATACAGTGTATTTACTGACTCCTATTTGTGTACAGCTATAGACTGTTTCCTTATGCTTTGAGTGAGGTATTATTACTGTTGATGCTAATTAAAACAAGTACTGAAAGAAAAGATGTATGTGGATATTTCATCTAGCACTGATATCCTAAGTGGTATAGCTGATAAGCCTGTAGCATATCTGTGAGCAAAGAAGATACTGGATAAATAAATACTAAGTTTTGTTCTCAAATGTTTTTTTTTAAAAGAGTTGCTAACATTAATTGACTTACAGAATATATGTGCTCCTGTACTGAGGAATCTTGATACCATTTGTTCAGATGCATGTAGAACACTTCTGAATTTTTAAATTTTCTTTTTGTCTTTTTTAGGTCCATAATATATTGGCTGAAATGGTGATGGGTGGAATGGTTTTGGAGACCAACATGAATGAAATTGTCACTCAGATTGATGCTCAAAATAAACTGGAGAAGTCTGAGGTAAGAGTGATGTGCCATGTAGCTTCTAAACTAAAAATATGTTGTAGTAAATGCATGCTATATAATGCAGTTTATCCTTCAGTAGCAAACTACATACAGTTGCTTGCTTGTAATGCCAGAAATTGACAATGTATTGTTAAGTTAGGATGTCATACCTTTCATCATAATAATAATTACGTAGAGTCACTACTCATTAGTTTTTGCTATTCGTATCTAATAGGATTGTGTACCATTGCTATAGAGATACTTCTGTAGTTCTCTAAGTTCCTCTTGCAGACAGCATCTTATTTCCAGTGTATTTTTTATGGTGGACTAGTGACTATAACACATAAATGAAATTTGATAAAGAGGAAAAGTGTTTGTACAAATGCTACATATTCCTGTTTGCTAGTATATTTCTAGCACCTGAAATAAATGGCAGTATGTTTAGGGTCATAATAAAACTGCAACACAAAATAATAAATTGGACTGAAATACAGCAGATAGAATTTAAAGCCATATTCTGTCATTTTGTTAATCTGAATATATAGTATTTGACTGAGTAGGTTTGAGTGAGAAAATGATATTCTATATATGCATGTAACAAACTGAGCAAGGATAATCACGGAAGCTGTTGAGATAAAGAGTTTTAAACTAAGGAAAGATTTTTAGAATTGTTTAAGCTATGACACAGAATAGTACTGTATTTTTAACATCATCAGATGTGCTTTTTAGCCAAAATACTACTAGTACATTGTCATTAAATGTGATTGATTCTTACTGATCAGAATACTTGCGCAGCAGAACACATCATCTGATTTTTGAAGTGTTAATATTCAAATTTCTAAACAAACCTTTGCTTGAATTGGAGACTCTTTCTAAAGCTGAAGTCAGTTGAGTAGATTGAAATATTGCAAGTGGCACAAGGATGAACTAAATGGCGTTTTTTGGAGAAGATCTAAAGAACTTTCTAGTTTTAACGTAAACGTAACAAAGACAGAAATGAACTCTTCTGCTTTTTTGTGGTGCAATGAATACTGTTCTCCTAATTCTGCAGCCTGACACTGCACCACTTCAAGTTTTGTAATACATTTAATTGTTAGTTTTGTACAACTTCCAAGCTGTATTCAAGAACAGGAAAACACTGTGTGAAAAACAGGAAAAAGTTAGGTATGATATGATAGAGTGCATACATCCAGGAGGATTGTATTGTATATTATGGTGTCCAAAATGTTGATTTTAACACTTTTCCTCAAACTCAGAATGAACCATTAATAAGAGATGAATATTTGCCGTTCTTCTTTATAAATTTTTACTATATCTGAGTAACTTCTGTATACATTTTTTTTCCTTGGTGGAAAAGTGACTTAGTGTCCTACAGTGCATTATGTGAATATCAGTTTTGCCTAAAAGCATTTAGTTAAGGTATTTATTCTTAATTATGTGAATTCTTTAATAAATCAACTGTAGTCCAGTCTCTGACTAGTCACCTGAAGCACATAAATTCAGTGCAGCCAGCTGCAATACTTGCTGTTTTTCATTATTCATTAGTAAGTCACACTTTCTTTTAAGATGGTTTTAGTATAGGTGGTAGAAGATACGTAAAAAAAATGTAAATCTCAGGCTATATGCAAGGCAAATAGCAACTTGTTCCTTTACATTCAGCAGTGAATTGTAGAGGGTAAAGAAGTAGCAGTATAAATGAAAACACTTAGTGACTGGAATGGAGAAGTACATTTCGTAGTCTGCTCACCACACATGGTTGGGGTGTGGGGGTTTTTTTGCCTTTTTTTTTTTTATTGTTGTTCGGTGACTGTTTCTCTTCAAATTTAACAGTTACTGTAGTCCTGAGATACTTCACAATACATGGTAACTATTTCGTCACATCATTAATAATTTGTTTTATGTATATCCACAGAAATTTCCTGATTGCTATTTCTTTTCCTTTTGTCTTTTTGATCAAGATTGGACATCTTTCAACCTTTCTTGAACATGTATTTTCAAGATACAAGAAAATCCAATTAATGTAAATCAAAATCAGTAATAATAGTATTTTTGAATGCTGGTCACTAAGAAATCAAAACTAGTGGATCTTAGTTTTCTTTGATGTAAAAATATTTTTTAAATTTAGGAATTATTATAGATATAGTCTGTAGTTCATGGGACTGCCACCTATGCCACAACAGGTCTCTCTTTAGTCTGTTTGGCTTGTTAGAACTCCATCATAGTTCTTGCATCCATAAAACAGCTGCTTTAAGGTTAAATTGTCTTTTATAGCTGAAATGATGAAGCTAATAAAGTGTAACAGAGCTACATTTTAAGAAATATTTTAAATATTGCATTGTGCCTGCCTGGCTTCCCTTGATATGCAAAATTTAACCATTTGACTTCAGGTATTTGTTTAATTATGTATGAAGTTTTTAAACAGGCTTTCAGTTAGAACTCAGTGAAGATCTAATGTATTTATTAAATTCACAAATACCTGAGTGAAGTTACCAACTCAATGAATTTGTTAATGCTTTCAACAGAGATTAATTATTCACAACACTATGAGGGAGTCCCTAGCTTTGATTTCTGATTCAGCTCTTGCATTACTCGAATGGATTACAAAGAAAAATCTATTTCTACCCAGAGAAATGTTATCTTAAATGCATTTCCCTACTTTCCAGTTTAGTGTTTTTCGTTAATGGTTTTCTGGTCAATTCTCTTAAATCCAAAGGATCATTGTGCTTAAGGGAGGGAATTTTTGGGAGAGGGGTCATTGGGATTTTATCTAGAACCTCTGGAAGTATTGTAGGTAAACTTGGGCTACCTCTTCTCTATTTGGAGCGTTCAACTGTGTGTGTCTTAGACTTTTACGTTGGACCTCATTTTTTCTGAACCTCCTGATCTTTTCTAGCTCTTTCCATTCTTCTCTCTTACAGACTTTTATCTTTCAGTCTCCCAGACAGGACAGGTAGACAAAGGTATTGCTGACTTTTAGAAAAAATGTACTTTTAACAAAAAGGGAAAGCAAAATGATGTCAAAAGCAATAAATTATATAGGCCAGACTCAAAAATTTTGTGTAAAATTACCCATACTAGTCCTTGTAGCCTACTTTTTGTGCTAGTTTCTTCTTGTAGTTCCCTCATCTTTTTATTGGCTATAGTGTATTTTACTAGCTTTCCATTGACATCATATTTTTTATTTTATTTCTCTTCCTACATTTTAGAATTTAACTTTTCTTTGTATCATTGTTTAAGAATCAAGGGAATATGAACTTTTGTAACTATTAACAAAAAAACCTGCAAAACGAATCTTGCTAGAAATTGAACACACAGATAACAAAATGTGATGATGTAATAAAAATAGCTTCCATATTGAGACAATTTTGTACTTGATAATATGAAATAATAGTATGAACTCCTTTGCTTAACCTTTTAGTATTTCCAAATGAAAACAAAGAACTTTTACCTCCCTGCAAAGAGAAGTTTCAGAACAAGTTTCAAGTGAACAAAACATTTTAAAAAAAAAAAAGACACTAAACCAACTTAATTAGTTTTATACCAACAGAATAAAATTATCAATGAAATTTGTAAAGATTATATTGAAATACCGAAGATGATCTTTTTATCTTAAGAATATGAAAGAAAAAATGAGAAGGGCTGTCAACGTGTACTCAGCTTCAGATGTACATTTGCTGCCCTTGCAGTCTGAACCACTGGATTTTTGCTTTATGACATCTTGGTAACTGCAGTCACTGAGTGTGAATATTAACAAGGAGCTGAAAAAGGTGGAGAAAAATGTGTCTGAAGTTCAGTTTATGGTCATTGTCCCCCATCATTTGCTGTTTGAAACATTTAGTTCAGCTCAACAGTTTCAATGTTAATCAGTGTTAATTGCAGTACTTCAAAATACATTTCCACTCATTTTAAGTATGTGTTTATTCAAACTGCAAGTATTTTAAATAGCTAGAATCTTAAGCAGATGAAGTTTATTTAACATATGAATAACTTAGTTCTTTTACTTTTTTCATGATCTTTTTAGGATAAAGCAATCTAATGCCTTTAACAAATATAATTCTCTAATTGGATTTAGTAGCAGCAATCTGTAAACCGTGAAAATATTTTTGGGGCGGATGAGACATTTTACCTAAATTTGAAGTGTGCTATAGCATATGAAGAAAATGAAGCAAATTACCTTCCTCTGCCTAATATGTCAACACTATGTGTAACATATAATCTGTATTTCATTGTAACAGTAGGAAGTTTTATTTCAGGTTGTTGTTTGGTTTTTTGCTTTTTTTTTTTCTTTAAGTTGTGCAAAGCTGTTTTTCTGTTTTGCTCACACATATTCTGTTTTTATTTTTGGGTCTGGCAATGAAAAACAAACGAACAAATAATTAATCATTCCCATCCATTACTCTCTTTGTGATTCAAGTGCTTAAAATTTCCAAGAGTATGTCTTAAGTCTTATCTGTTTGGCCTCATTTTGATATACTTGCAGACTTCATTTTGTTTTTTCTCTAATTATGTTCATTTATTTAACTTCATAAACAAGGGACATAATCATTCCTTTATATTATGTATTCCATCCTCTCATGATTTCATAACCCTGCTGCTTTGAAGTCATACTTGTTCTGGAAAGAAGCATTAATATTAAACACCAGCAGCAGAGAGGTCCTAGTACCTCCAAAATATCTAGAAAGGAGTTGCTTATTTTGCAAAGCATTAGCCTTCATTATTTTGTTTTCCAGTAGGCTGTAATTTTTTACATGTTTATTTTTGTGATAGCTAGCTCTGTCTAGAGTTATTTGAGGTAGTGGTTTTAAATATTTTTTTTTTCTATTTGTATATGCATATTAACTATGTTTGTGATGTGCAATACTTTCTGAATTTCTTTTTAAAAAGTAAAACAATTATTTCTGGGATCACTTCCTTGTAAAGCTACCCGTAGAGCATTCTGGGAAACGGTTATGATAAGAACAAAGAAAACTGATTCTTGTAGTGGTAAATAATGACCTTGGTAAACTAATAACAGCTCATGTTTCTTACTTGATATTTTAGGACCAGTAGAGTAAGAGTTCTGTTAGTAAATGTGTCCATTTCAGTCCTCAAAATAACATCATTGTTTTGCAATTGCTCTTTCACTCTAGGAGTATGTAAACATGTTTACTAACATATTTTGCGGTAACTGAACCTAAAATTTTAATATACAGCATTACATGAAAGTACAACCTTCAATATCAAATGAAGTTGAGAAGACAAAGCAGCTGTGGCAGAAATGTGGTGTATTGGCTTATTGTAATACCAGCTGTATGCAATTCATATTGTATTTCTGAAATTTCATTTATATGTCTAAAGAAGTTTCATTTGTCACTTGCTTAAGTTATTTGCTTGCTGTGACAGACAATTCATCATTCGCTGCATGTTTAAAGGTTGCTGCATTTTGGTTTGATGGGGATTTTTTGTTATTTTTGTTGCTATTTTTTCCCCTCAAGTGAAAGTTTTTTCTTTGCACCTCACTAACTTATATTCTGAATTATTTGATTAAAAGGGCAATTGAAACTTATCCAGTTCAAGGTTTCAGTGATGGCTCTTTTAATCAAGTACCTCTACAAAACTCCTTAAAAGTGTGGTGGGCCAGAAGTACTTCTTGTAGTACTGTTGTGTTTGTAAATACAGTTCACTTTCTGTAAAGAAATTACAAATAAACTAGGACTGCACACTAGTTCACTCTCTGACATGCTCAAAAGAAATGCTAAGGCTATACTAGCACTTCAAATAACTTATTTAGGGGGCCGGTTAGCTCAGCGGTTTGAGCAGCGGTGCTGACAACAATGACCAACACCGAGGTCGCGGGTTCGATTCCCGCTCGGGCCCCGTGTGTTGCCTGGTCTAGTTGAGAGGCGTCCCTGCCCATGACAGGGAGGTTGGACTAGATGATCTCTAAGGTCCCTTCCAGCCTAGGCCATTCTATGATTCTATGAACTTATTAGTTATCCTAGTTGGAAGTTTAAGTACTTTTCAATCATTTTATCCATGAGACATTTTTCATGAACTGTTTACTCTGTTCTTGAAATACTGTATAACTGTATTGTGGTTGATAGGATTGACATTAATTGTGATAAATAGCATTCTGCTATGCATATTATGTATACATTGAATTACGAACACACGTAATATAAAGAATTACAGGAGAAGAGATTGTAATAGTTTGAAAATCTGTACTCCAGCATATGATAGTGAAAGACGATCTCACTGGCAAAAAAGAAACCCCAAGGTAATCTGAAATTCATAGGACTCTTGTCAGGAATCTTCATTGATCCTGATCCAGAATAGTCCTCATGACGTGTGACTGTTCGAAGATGTGATGGTATAGGGGGGCGGAAGGGCAATGGTCATGTAAATTGTGATATCTTAAATAATTCTCAATTATGTCTCCATTGTATCTTATGCCATTGGGGCGGGAGGCAGGGACTGTAAGTCTGAGTAATGAGGATAGCTGCAGGTAGGTAAAAATAAAGACCAGTTATACTGAAACTTTTATCTGTCCATCAAGAGTAATTAACTTCCATTAAGTTAGGGTAAGGAATCTCCATCCTAGTCACCTAGAAGGCATCTTTCTTCTGAACTGCCAGCCATGCCTGTTTGTGTGGACCATGTCCCTCACTTATGATATTTTTCTGGTTTCCCGTTGTTTCAGTTACAAATTGTATAATTCATTGCTTTTGTTACTACTTTAGTATTATCATCTTTTCTATGGAAAACAGTTTACATTGCCCCACTTCTGGTTGTGCTTAAAGAATTTTTCTACAGTTACTGAATATAGAATTTAAAGGATAGAATCAAATTAAAAGGACATACATTTATTGTTTTATCTGATAAAATTTCACAGATGTCCTCTTGATTTTCAAAGAAGTATTTCAAAGTTCTCACATACTTCTGAAAACCAGTAATTTGGATTATGTCAGGGCCAAAGTGAGAGCAGATAATTTGATTACATCAGAAATTTCCTGATCTTTCTCCTCTCCCTGCACATGTCTTTCCCAACTTTGGCATGTCGCATGTAACGGATGACTCATGGCTCTCTGGTCTCTGTTTCTGTTACTGGGAATCCTCCTGTGACTAAAATCTAGGGATTTATGATCCTTTAGCCTTTCCACATGATATAAAAAGGGTTAGTTCAAGATCAGAAGCTTTAATGGTGTTTTTTTTTGATTGTAGGTTACATTGCAGAAGGGATAAGGAGAATAGTAGGCAGGATTTTAAGTGGAAATCTTATGTTAGTTTCACCTTGAATTTATTTCTTATAAGAGATTGCTAAAAGGGAGAAGATTTTTTTGAGAGCCTTGGAAAAGTAGAGTTGTAATCTGAGGAGTTTATTCCTGTTCGGTCCCCATGTGTTGCCTGATCTAGTTGAGAGGTGGCGTCCCTGCCCATGACAGGGAGGTTGGATTAAATGATCTCTAAGGTCCCTTCCAGCCTAGGCCAGTCTATGATTCTATGGCGTGTCTGTCCTCTTTTGTGGAGTATTGAGGGTGTCAGGTGTACTCCCTGGTAATTTCAATGAAAATCAAGAATCTGAAAAGATTATACTTCGAGCAGTAGTCACCTACCAACACTATTCAAGTAGGACACAAACTTTTCCAGAAATTTTTGTTGTTTCGTTTTGCTGTATTCTTGCTCAGAATTATTTTACTACAAATGGACTGATTTCTTCAGTCTTTGACAGTCTTGTCATGAAAGACCTTCTGTTTCTACAGGTTTAGTCTCTTGTTTAACCAGTTATTAGCATGTTGCTTCATTTCTTGTGGATTGCTCCTTTTTTACTGGCCTGAAACATGCCACACTCTGAAAATAGTAGTTCTGAAAAATCAATTTGTGGTCTTTATTATTTTTCAATATTTTTTATCCTACTCCTGGGACATCACAATAAAAGTTAATTTTTTTTACACAGTCACAGAATTTGCAATGTGATGTATTTTTTTTTGCTCTGCAAATTAGAGCTCTGTTTAAAAAAATCTTCCTTTTTTTCCCCCCTCAGTAAGAACAAACATGATTTTTACTCTTCTGTGGCAATTGTGAAATAAAACCACATAGCTAATTCTAAATATACATAGATAATCTGAACTTATAGGAGAACTATTTCTGTACTTCACATGCAAGGTGCCTTTTCTGGACAGCATCAAATACATTAACAACTTAGGTGCTGGCCTTTATTAATAGTCCTTAAAATAATGAGGTTTTGAAGACGTGTTCTTCAGAAGCAATAGAAATATCATATTTGGTATGCCACCAGACCTCTAAGCTGTAAATCATCTTTGTTAGCATTTCAGTAATATACCCCAGTGTGTAGACTTGGCAGTTATTTTATCTAAAAGGCAGAACCAAATGGAAGTCAGTAATGAACTTCTATGTGGTAAAATTTGCATATTTATACAGAAAGTATCTGGCTTTGAATGAAGAGAGACTGCATACAGTAGAGGGCTTTAATACAAAATAGGTACTTCAGTGTTTAATTTGACGTAACCAGGTATTATGTAATGATCTAGTGTGCCTGAGGGGCTGCAGGTACATTAGCATATAATTAGATATTGTGGGACAGAAGATTACTCGAGTTGGTCTATTAAAATGATCTCTTGGCATGCGCTTTATCACCCACAAATGCAAGTTGTTAATCCTTTCATTTTAGGCTAAGCCGCCTTGAAATACCTTATATACATATATATATATATATATTCATTAAGATTAGTAACATGTTTCAACTGATATTCAGTAGCTTGTTACTTTGAGGTTAGGTATTCTGAACCTTAAACTAGTGTTAGTCAGTTGTGAACCATGTGGACTTTTAGAATAGGTAAGAGACAAAGACAGCTCATTGGACTACAGACACCTTGAGTCTGTTCTGTAAGCTATACATGACACACGCTTCGGTAAGCCTCATATTCCTCCCCACATAATTTTCCATCAAGTTGACATTACATGTTTTACCACATAAAAAGGAATGTGTGAACTGTTTTCTCCTTCTGGTTTAATATTTCCAAATAACCCATTTCATTCCAAACACAGTTACCATCTGGTCTTTCTAATTGTGTAACCATGGAAGTACTTGAAAAGTTAGTTGTGTGTGTATATTGGTAGTGAATTGTTGTGTGACCAATGTTGCCTGACTTGCATTTTCCCTCACTTTATACACAGGCTGGTTTAGCAGGAGCTCCAGCCCGGGCTGTTTCAGCTGTAAAGAATATGAATCTGCCAGAGATCCCAAGAAATATTAATATTGGTGACATCAGTATAAAAGTGCCAAACCTGCCCTCTTTTAAATAACGTGGCTACTCCAGGTAAAACCAAGGAAGAAGGGTCATAGAGAATTACCACGTAATTGTTTACTAAATAAACAACGTGTTTAACTTTTACTATTTGGATAAAACTCATGGTACTGTATAGACATAATTTGAAAAAATTGGTGTGTGGAGTTGAATGTTGCTTTTGTCTTGTGAAATTAAAGGAAATGGGTAGTTCCCGTGTGATTTCTAAATTACATTCCTATGCCCTTGTAAGGCATATCACTGTTTCTTGGCTGCTGCAGTATTTTGGGGAAGTATTTAAGATGTTCTTTACTTTGTATAACCTATAATGCTGAGGTTTTTTGTATATTCACTAATGTCTATAACTAATGCATTCCTTAACTATTTCTGCTGTCATGATTATTTAAGACTTAAATGCAAAAGTTGCATGAAAACATTAAACTCATCTTTTGTTGAAATAAAATCATAACAAACTGGACTTCTAAATACCTGTTTGTCTGAGATCTACTCTTTGCAATAAATCATGTTATTTCCTATTCATGGAGCCAACTGACAATATATATAAGTACTGTTTTAACAAGCATTAATGTTGTAGTTTAATCTCGGAAGGAATTACACGGGGATATTGCGTTGAACATGTTGGCTCTATATTTCTCACAAAAGCTGTTCATTATTATTCTGAAGGAAAAACTGCCTTTACTGAGGTTCCAACGACTTCTGTTTACATAGTTGAGAAGTTACTTACACAATCTGATACACTTACCCTGGTGGTCTAACTGTATTTTGGGAATAAGGGTCTCTGCAGCTGCTGTGTGTGATGTGAGAAGCACAGAATGGGCTGAGGAGATTGGGCAGCTCAGAACTTTAAATGTGAGTACATCGAGTAATTTGATGAAGCCACTCTGGAAAGATAAATAAGGATACTTTAATAGGGCCAATGTGCCTGGTGACACTTGTGATTCTCTGTGTAGAGAATTAGATTTATGAGATACTTAGTATTGCCAAGACCTCAGAAAACCTAAGTGCTATCACTTCTGTGTAAGTTACTCAGCTCTTAAACTCTTCTGTGATTACAAAAAAAAAGGGGGATAGTGATTGGTTTTTATAATCATGCTCTTAAGCTCTGTGTGATGTACAAGTCCTGTTTAAATAAATAATAAAAATATCATTGGGATATTTAATAATTTTTGTGAAGTTTCTTCTCAAAAAAGGCACATTTAGTATTGCACGTGAAAATACAGTAATATTGTGTCAAGGACAACACATTTCAGGACAAGTCTGAGAGGTCCAGTGTTACTTCAGAAAATTGGATCTGATGTAAACCAAACATTCTTTTCCTTTGAATTGAATGTTAGGCCATACCCCCATAGGATAAACTTGGAATCATATCACACTCTGTGTTTGATCCATAGTATCTGTCATAGGTACCTTTTGAGAGAGAAGAAGAGGAATTACTTCTGAAGTAGGAAACTGATACAATCCAAGGAATTTTAATGTATTTCTTGGGAGTGGGTGGGGGGCAGAGGTGTAGAGAAAAACTTCATGTATATTGTTCATATCACATTTAATAAGCAGCAAGTAATGCTTACTATTTTGTAAATACTTCTGAAAACGGAATTGCCCTCTCCATACCTCTTGAAAAGAATATTTATTCTTCCAAATTAAATTTCTTAGTTTGAAGATTCAGGAAATTTCAGATGAGGTTTAAGTATAAAACTACAGCTTTCTCATTTTCACTGAAGAAGCTGAGAGAATGAAATGTCCAATGTTGTTTGTCTCCTGTGAATTAGTATTGTATTCCTAAGTTAGACAGTCTAGCTTGTAGAAATCTGGAACTGTTATAATTTCACCTGCTTTTGCTAACTTTTGTTTTTCTGCTTAATGCATAGACCATGTGACATTAGAAGTAGAAATTGAAAATTTTCTGCATTGTTCCCCCTGTGAGGATTTAGTTAATGCTGCTGCGGAAGGACAAGTAGGAAATTTTGAAACATTTGGTACGCTGACCTACTCTCAGTTCTGTTGGCCAGCTGTGAAAGGATCTCACAATTTCAGAAATTCTTCCAAGTCCTCTGTTTTTTGCCTCACAAAATTTTTCTGTTTTTTTTTTTTCAGCTTTGTAAGCTTATAGAGTTAAAACATTTTTCATTCCTTGCTATTGAAATTCTCTGGGGGAGAAACCTTTTAATGTGATCCTAGCAATTTAACTGTAGTAAGTACTCCTTTTGATAGTCCTTGATAAATCATGCACAGAGATAATTTTAAGGAGACTGTGCAAGATTAATAATACAGATTGATAGTTAAGCCTTCAGGATGCCTTAACTAATCTATTTTACCTGCATTTCCCCACACCTCCTGGTTTTCTGTTGTCAGAAAGTCCCACGGGTGGTTACTTCTCTCAGTATGCCACAAGATAAGTATTTTCCACATTTGTATTCTGGGGATGAAGGGTGAGGTTGAGGCTTGGGTGTAGTGGCTGTTCAGATTCTTGTCTCCAAACTGTGGCTGTCTTGTTATGAATTATGCCTTTCAAGGTCAGAGATACTTACTGTGAAACTTAGTTTAAGCCCAGTTAGCCCGTGAAAGCAACTGCTAGTTCTGGCTAGTAATTTTTTAGTCTTTGAGAAGAAAAATAACTTTTCTGGGATGTAGACCTCCTCTGAAGTATTGAGAGGAGAGGTGTTGGATGCATTTTCCTTTCCCTGAAGGCCTTTGTGGAGCAGATAGATGAATTTCTTCCTTCTTGGAAGATGAAATTTTGTAAAGAAGTGGAGAAATGACAGAAAGGATAAAAAGTTCCAGAGAATGAGTTGGGCATTCCCAGCTGCCTCCATAGACTTGAAACGGAGCAGATAGTTTTCCCACTGGGGCAGGGGCAATGAGTACTGCTGAAAAACTGTTTTGGCTCTTTTTCACTAGGAGTATCTCATGTTAGAATCAGATGAGAATGCTCTCTCCAGTATTGACAGCACAGACACTACAGGTACTATGTCAATACACTTCCTTCTCCCTGAATAATGAAGCACTGTTGTGGCTGTATTTGGGGAAGAGGGGTTATTTTACAACATTACAAGTGTATACCAAATTTCTCCTCTTAAGCATGTTGCTGCTCAGATTTATTCTGGTTGACAGGAATGGGTGTAGGGA